TAGGGGGAAGAGGGATTTGTAACAGGGTCAGCCAAAAGCAAATTCTGCTCAGAAAATTCGTTATGGAAGTTTCCCATCCCAGTGAACTCAGACCACAGTTCTCTGCCCAAATGTCTCTTTCCAACTGAGATGACATGGCTGCTTTGGGGAGATCCTGTCCATGCCCCAGGAAAATCCTTTTTTTGTCTTGCAGAGAAAGGGTTTGCTTTTTCATACATTAAGTTCAGCTGCCTCCTGTCTCCAGAGTATCACGCTCAGGATCGATATTGCTTCCCTCTGTGATATGAACGTCCTCAGTCCTTGCTGAAGCATACCACTTATCTTTCAACACTTTCTTCATAGCTCTGAAACACCTGAGGTGCTGACGATTTGCTCTCTCTAGCAATCTATAGCATTGGGTGAAGCCCTTTTTAGAGTTTGTAGTGGTAAACTTTTCACAAATTTGCTGCCTGTTCATATTTCTAGACCTTACATATAACTTACAGGTTTTTTTGACCTCTCACCTATTGCCAATTGCAAATGTTCTCCAGATGGAATAACTGTCTCCTGAAGATGTGAGGCACTGGGGTTTTCTAGTCCTTGCAGGTACAGGTGGTTGAAAAGGCTGATCTCATGCAAGTGAAACCTGAACTGATTAGTTATCTCCCCCATTACTCCAGATAACTTGGTTTCTTTTGGGGTTGTTTTGTTTTGTTTCCCGCTGAGGACAGGGGAATTAAGTATTTTTGCTCAGCCTTTCCACAGGCAGGAACTGCAGTTCTTCCTTCCCGGAAGCTCTTACCCTTCCAAAATTTAGTTTGGACATGTCTCCTTAATTCCGCTTTCGTGCTTAAGGCTTGCCTAACGGATTGTGCTTTGCCATGGAGATCAGTAGCACTAGTGACTTCTCCTCTTCTACATTTTCAGGGACGAGGAAGAAGCTATCCCTCCAAACAGGCTCTGCAGTGTACATACAGGGGACTGTTTCTGTGCACAGCTGATGTCTATTGGCAATGATCACAGTAATTGATACCAATGTAGTAACCTGCTCTGGCTTAGCACAATCCGTCTTATTCTTTTTTCTGCTTCACGGTACAACTCCCCTGGATGCCTTTCTCAACCCTGCCAAGGACAAAGCCCCTTGCTTTCATCCTTGCATTTTGGCTTTTGAAACACTTTTTGACAGTAGCCTTTGTACTTAGGCGAGTGTTTAGGTGTTCATGCCATTATCCATTCTTCAAAAGTACCAATGAATGAAGCAGGAGGTTGATTACAGCTGACTCCCTTCTTTCCACCCATTTGTTCACTGAGTGAGACGTGTTGTCTTGTGCTGCATCATGAGTGCAAGTTTCATGAGTTCCTCAAGGCTCCTCCCAACACGGGAAGCTGGGCCATAGGCAAGTAGTCTTTTTTTCATTCATTATTGTCCCACAAAACAGGCAAGATCACTGTAGAGCATCTGAGAGGTTTCTGAACAAGTGCTTGTTCACCTAGCACTAGCATCTAGCACCTAGCATCTAGTTCTGCCATGCACACAAGTGTAGTTTCATTTTCTTTGTCCTCCTGTGTGTAACTTCAAAAACAATTACACAAACCCGCGGTGCAGTTCAGTGACATTTTAAGCTCTTTTTCAGGGCTTCTAACTTGTACTTGTACTTCCTTTTTTCTGAAGTTGTGACCACTCTAAAAAAAGTTAAATATAATTGGCACAAACATAAGGTAAAACTAACCTTTGCTCATCTTTATCCCTAATTTCATTCTGCATGAAAACAGTAACCAAATCCTGTGTACTGCAGTGCAACCCATCTTTATTTTCTGTGATAAACACCTCAATTCTCCGCCAAATTATAATTTTCTCTTATGCTGATTTTCTAATGACACTGACCATTTTAATCAAAATTAAACTGCAGGCTGGAAAGATGTTGCCTTACTTTAACTGCGTTACAGAGCAAAGGGAGGACTGCTGCCTGCACAGGAGGCCAGGAGGAGCAGAAGCACAGCCCTGTCCGTGTGGTGGACAGGCTCACCTTGTGATCAGCACTCAGGAGAAGAAAAGGAGGCTGACAGAGACAGGGCTAAACAAACCCTTCCTCCAAGGGAGGTCAGGCAGCACACAAAGGCTCTGCTTCAGGGCAACACCAAATTAGGATGCATTGGACAACTTGTTTGGGAAGAGGGGATGCACTTCCACAGCACTTCCAGCCAAGCCAAGCACTTCCACAGCCACTACCTGAGCCACGTGTTTCTTTCTGCACTGACCTCCTGCACCTAAGCTGGTAACTGTGCAACTGTGTGGTGCACTGGTTCAGGGAAATGAAGTAAATGGGTCTTAACCTTACTAAAACACTGATTTGCCTTCAGCCAGGTCAGACTCCTGATCTAGCCCATCATGCAGTCAGACAGTGCTAATGTTGTTACCAGAAAGAGAGCAACAGGGGAAGCATGCAGCTGCAGGCAGAAAGAAAGATGAGACTGCAGCAGCCCAAGCTTTAATCAGCTTTAATTTCTGTGGAACCACATCTTTAGTCATTCAAGTGAACTCACGAAGTTCTTTAGTGTTATCATATATTGGTTTTAATATGTTTTTTATACATTTAGGTACAAGTCAGGAAAAAAAAGAAACAAACCTATGTCTCATGCTGTGAAAGTGTTGGAATTAAACCAGTCATGTCTGCATGATGCTGCTGTGAGCTGGTCCACTGTTTGCCAAACCAAGACTCCTGTTGTTAACGTTCAAAATCCAGCAATTACTAATGCCAAGTAGCATATTGCATGGCTATCCGTTTTGATACGACTAACTTCCACCCAGCAAAAAACCGTAATAAAGATAGATTTACATACTAGACTCTCCTGGCTCTGCATTCGCTGCCAGTCTCACACCAAAGAGTTGAAAGAACCATCAGGGAGCTTTTCTGCGTAAAAGAACAATCTCTTCTGCAGTCACAAGCCCCAGCTGTTTCTTTCATATAAACTCTGTTTCAGAATTGTCAGAATTACAGGCTGATAAATAAAATCAGAAAAATAAGTGAATAAAAAGAGATGGGGAGGAAAAAATACTTTCCAGTCAAAGCTCAACATTAAAGGCATGAAGGTTCAAGAAGGCTGGTAAGATAGCAGGAGCTGAAAAAAATGCCAGACATACTCTAGGTCAATACCTCACTATAGGTGAGTGAATATTCTACAGATCCCTGAATTTCTGAAGGCTGTGTGAAGCCATCAATGACTACATAGTTTGGTCCTCTTGTATAGTGTAATCTGTAGAGATTTGCCTAGTTGTTCCTGCTGCAAGCACATAATTTTTCATTGAACCAGAGCATATATTTAGAAAAGGCCTCTAGGACTGATTTAAGGACTTCAAGTGATGCAGAACCACTGTGCCTCTAGGGTGATTGTTCCAGTGGCTTCCCAACCTCAGGGTTAAGCAGATGGAACATGTTTGGCTTTAACTTTCAAGCACTTATGGAAGACTTCTATCCCAATGAGTTTCAAAGCTTTTCAAAAGTTTTAAAATACTTTATACAAAAAATTGTCTTCCACTTTCTCTTTTAATGCAGCCACTTTGACGGTGATACAGAAGCCTTTCCTCCAGCATGCAACAGCTCTACCTAGCACTTGAGCTAAATACTCAAGAAACAGCCAGAGCTGCCAGCAGTAAGGGAGAGGAGGATTTAGGAAAGTCGAATGCGCTTAAGAAGCCAGTAAGTTTCACAGTGCTAATGTAACACTCGTAAGGGTACAGAAAAGCACCTTGGACACAGAAATGAACTGTTCTGGTCAGGAGCTTAACATTGGCCTTATCCAAAAGATACTACAACTCCAGCTGCTGGCTGAACTGTAGCAACACATGACAATTTCAACCCCTTGACATTTCTGGTACCCTCGCTGCATCCTGCGGTGAAGAGCTTTTACTGAAAAGCTTCCCTTGCAAGTTGTCAGCCTAGGGTGGCATCTTTGGCATGATAACTTCACATCTGATAGCCTAGCTCTGGGCAGCACAGAGACACGACTGATGAAGGCACGATCTTCAATAATATTTATCTATTAATTGTACCTTTTGTATGTGTCTTTGATGAGAGTGACTGATAAGGCCAGATCTCAGACTTTGTTATCCAGCCATGACTTTTAAGTGTGACTTCACAGCATGTAATTCATCTGAAGAGGCTGTTCTACGCTGTCACCATGGATGCGGTTGAACCCCCATTATACTAATAATAATGTATGTTACTATGAGATCTCTTTTTTAGCGTCTCAAGAGGAGGTTATCTTTCTCAATTAAAGAGCAAAAGTTAGGTGGGAAAAAGAAAGAAAAAATACAGAGAAACAAGGATCAACGTGTCTTTTCCCTGAATTTTATGTTTGTCATTTGTGCAAATGACCTAGAAAAAGCCAATGCCTGGGAATTAAGTTTATTTTAAGAGCTCTCCAAATATGAAATCAGTGACTGGTTTGAAAGAAGGTTACAGACAAAATCAAGCTGTCATTTGTAGTTCGCTGTGGCCCTGCTCTTTAAATCCATTTTCAAGAAGGCTGCATCCACTCTCTTTTTCCTTCAGTGCCCACCTTGCAGGCTCTCACTCTTGGAAGCAGGGAGATAGAGATTGTGACCATCAGCATCAGTTCCCTCAAAGATGTAACCGGGTGGGTCTTTGTAAGAGGCCAAGCATCTAACAATGCTCTTTGGTGTGTAGCTGGTAGTATAGATGGTTTTAGCATCTAGCAGAGTGTGATGCTTTGGGCCTGACCAGCCAGGTTTACAGCTCTTTGTAACTGTGAGCAGATGAGGCACATAATGGGTCTGAAAGGTAGTCAAGCAATCCATTGGTTTTGCTGGGAAAGTCAGTTCTGGAGCTTGAGTAATAGGTTTTAGTCTCTTGCACAGCCAAGGCTTATAGTCTTCCTTTGTTACAGAAGAGCTATTGAATGGCTCAGTACTTTTTTTAAGCTGAGCCAAAGATCGACACATCTTGGCTGGTTTGCCATTTGTGTGCTTGTAATGCATCTGAGTAGTGGTGTGAAGGTCCATTTTCTCCAGAGGAGGAAGATATACCTCAGGTTGTTTGGTGAACATGGGAGTCCATGGCCAAGCTTGGTATTTTTCCTGAAACTCAGTTGTAGAGGAAAGTGGAAGATCATGGAGAAGCTTCGGCTGGTATGGTTTTGCCAGCTTGGCTGGATGACCAGCCAGCCCCTTGTAAGAAACTTTGTGGGTAGTGAGGCCATCAAATGGGACCTCATTGACCTTGTATTTCTCATATTTATGGACATAACGTTTCTCCATAGGATGTGGCACATAATTCACTCTATAATTGGTTATATTCTCAAAGGGAGCCTTGCTTTTCTGGACCAGATTCAGAGGTTTGCAGCTTTGAGTGGCAACTGGCCCCCTGTAGAGATAGTCGTCCTGGACAATGGTTCTGTGGTCAAATTTTTCTTCTGATGGGTGAAACCTGTTGTTTGGTCTGATCAGCTCTGTCTTTGGTTCATTCCATAGCACATAGTCATCTGAAACATAAGAGGAATCCTATCTAAGTACTCAACTGAAGTTCTTTGGTGAGTTTAGGCATATACTATATTATGTTTTGATTATTACATTTTCTATTGTAATATTTGTTGATGTTGTAATGACTGACAAATCCTGTTAAAAGAGTTGCTGTAGAAAACATTATACACTACTGTGCTAACCCCTGGAAATGCTTAGCATCTACACAGAAAATGGAATGAAAATAGTCCTGTACCCACCCATACCTACAGAGATGGTGAAATACAACGTAGAAAGATTAAATTACATTCTCAGTCTTGCAGAGATGTTTTCTGCACGTGACTGAGTGGGTGCTATCCTCACGCTCAGTCAACCAGAAATCATGAAAGTGGAGTATCATGGCACTGACTTCAACCCCCTTCATTTACCTTCCTGCAGCTATGTTGTGGCTGGCTCAGAGCACAGGCAGGGTATGCCTATGTCTGCAGAAGGCTGTTCAGGTGTCTCCCACAGTACCTCTGGGACAAGGAGAACCAGATGTCCACCATTCCACTCTAAAGGCCAAGTCGCAGAGCTACCCTTCCTCTTTGTACCTTCTCATTTGGGGTTGACCTGATTTCTCAACTGCACAGATGTGATGCTGCCTACTGTTTGCTGAGTTCATCTTGGTGTCAGCAAGCTGTGCTGTGTGGCATCTCCTCTGCTCTTGGCTTTGCTCTCTGTGGTACTCCTGCTGTCAGTACAAGCAGGAACCGAGAAGGAGCTTGTAATTCTGTCTCCAATTCTTCCTTATTAGAAAAACTGTGCTGGACTTTGCAGACCAAGCCTACACAGATCTGAGGCATTGAATCATACCGCAGAGATGGCTCATACTCCAGAAATCTTGCTATCCAAATTAATGACTAAGAAAACATTTTAGGTGGCATTTTAGAGACATTCATATCTTCCTTCTTTGGCAGGATACTGGGAAAAAAAAATGAGGCACTGAGACTTAAAAAGATTTGCACTCAGTCACATTAGAAATCTATTGCAAAGCTGCCTAACTCCCCGACCACTGCTGCAGCCACAAGACCATCATTTTTTCCCTTCCTAGTAATCTTGTGCAACTTCCCCTAGAGAGCATTATGGTTACTGGTAGGAAGTTGAAATGAGATAGTCTTGGAGCTAATCCAAGTCCTTTTTTTTTAATTTTCCCTCCTTTCAAACCACACTGAGAGTCATGAGGCAAATAAGCTTCCAGCTGACTCTGCACAGGAAGGAAGTCTGGATTTCAAAGTACTAGAGAGTAAATGATGCAGTTAGGTATCAGGATATTTGAACTCTCCAATCCAAACAGTGTTATTCCTTTTGAATGGCAGTGGCTATTGTACTGCACAAACACAATTACACAAAGGATGTGTTCATTACAATGTGAAGTTGACCAAAAAAAAAAAGTAACTTTTTGCCCCAATTAAATATCCTTTTAAAGTCCTTCTGGTTCAAATCAAGTTGCTCTGCCCTGGCGCAAGGTCCTGGCCCTTGGGTACGGAGCTGCCCTCATGCTGCTAATGACTGCAGTCAGCTGAGAACACGGGTCTGCTTCTGTGCACCGGCATAGACATTCATTTGACACTGTTGGTGCCACTGAAGCCCAGGCTGCGTGCCCTGCTAGTGCCACGGGTGTTTAAATGCCCCCGGGTGTTCCTGTTTCTCTGGACGAATAGGAGGTGTCCAGGCATCACCGCACTGGTGGGATGCTGACCTTCTGCCAAGGGTACATCATTTTCCTGGAGAGATGGACCAGCAGGCTGAGCCACAAGCATATACGGACACGTGCCATTACAGGGAATGTATTAATAAAGTGTTAAAAAGTGAGAAGCTAATGAGATTCAGCCCATCTCTAAGCAAGGGTTCATTCAGAGATTTGACATTTCAGACGCCAACCAAGAGTTACCAAAAAATTTTTTAGGTTCTCCCATCGTCTTTGCTGGAAAATAGTCTGAGCATTTCGGACATAACCGCAGCTTTTGCAAAATATTCAAAATATGACAAGCAAGTCCATCTGTCTTCAATTTTAAAAATTTACAAGCTCTACACATTTGGAGACCTCTTAGGCATTATGAATTTATTTTACTTAGTGTAAGCCAGCAGTGCTACTATTCCTTCAAAATATGTTACAATTTTATTGTAACTCTAATTCTTCTCCCATAGATATTAATAGTTTCCCATGTAGCACAATCTTGAAAACATTAGGGGATACAGGAGGGAATGGAGGATATGAACCATATGTTATTGGAGGGTTAGGCACACCTTGCTATAACCAAGCAAGACAAAACTAAAATTAGGTTACGTACCTGCAGATGGATAGAAACAGCTACGTGTGTAGCTTGGAGGAGATGGTAATTTTGAAACCTTAAGTTGCAAAGTCATCTGACAGTAATTGTGATATGCAATAGCATCATCTTAAACCTGCAGTGTCATTTGGGATATGGTGTATTCAGTGCGAAGGAGTATGACAATACAGTAAGAAAGGCCATTTAATACCAATGCAGCAGTGTTTTATATGTTGCTTAAATATTTGAATTATGATAATTAATTGAATACCATGTTTCAGAATTTCACATTTGAGTAGTGATCAGTAAAACCTAGCAATGCTTAGAGAATAGCACAATGAAAAATTGTATTTTTTGTGAACCTGGGCCTTTAAAAGGGAATTTATTTACTATGCAACTTGATCTTTGAGGGGGTTTGGACGAAGATTTTCATTTGCAGTGTTTTGAAAAATACTGCAAATTATAACCAAATGTGGCTGTGATACATTTTATTAGAGCTCCGGAGTAACAGTTAAGGTTCTGACCTAAACACTGATAAAAGACATAGATATACATCTGGTTCAGATACAGAGAAGTTAAGGATATCTAAACACAGAAGGAAAGATCCTCCACTTGCGCAAAGCAGTCTTTTTTTATTGGCTTTACTGAAGCTATTTCAATGAATACCATCTGGTGACATTGCCTATGCAAAACAAAGTGTTCAAAATTATGTAAACGTGGGTATTTTGCACCTGTGGGTCACAGTCTTCATGACTCAAGTCATTCTAAATGGACAGTATTTCCTGTGTGCGTAATGTAAAAATTCCAGTTTATGCCGTTGCAAACATGCAGCTGCACTGAAGTCTGACTTTCAGTCATTTCAGCATAATCTTAACACTGCATTCACATATCTTTCATTTCCTTACTTCCTTTATCATTTTGAGTTTTAAGAAAAAAATTGTTTCTGTACATTGGGACAAATCTCAATGACAGCACCAATCATAAGCTTTTATACTTGCACAGCATAATTTAAAAAAAAAAAAACAAAAACAAAAACAAAAACAAAATAAAATAAAATAATTTAAAAATCTTTTAAGAAATACACAAATGCTAGCTATCTGCCTAAGAACGTTAGCTAGCCGGAAGGTGTGCAGAGGGGAGGCAAAATCCTCTGATTTTCTACTTATGACTTACTACCAAAACTAGCACAGTTACTGTAACTGTGTAACTGACAGTTTTCCCGCAGTACATGCAGAAGAGAATTCATGCTGGTGAAGAGGAAGGAACAAAGCTCCCACAAAGACAAACCACCTACACCAAGTTACTGCTACTGAGAAACAAGAGCACAGTTAGATGCATAGTTCATCTGTTTTACCAGAAGTAGAGCTTGACTGCTTTGGACTTTTGTGTGGAACTTCTGTGTGTCTGTAATTCCCACGTACGTCTCTTGCACATCCACAGATTAACTCTGCAGCACACACCAAAAGGGTCCCATGCTTCATGATCTGCTCAGACCTAGCAAATTCTGCATATTTTAGATGTGTCTGATCCACTGAATGTGTGGACCAGCCCTGCAGTATAGCAAGATTATGTTCAGTATATCCTAAAGATGATGCTGCTGGACCCACTTGCAGGAGTTCACATGGCCCTACTTCTACCTAGGGTGCCTGTAGGCCTGTCAGACATGCAAAGGGGGTGAACTCAGAGAGGTCCCAATGCTACCATTAATGCGGGGCTGTATTCCCAACAATGTGTGTCTGTGTGGTTCCTGCACAGCTTGTTGGCATACATAGACAGAAGGAATAACAACTGCACACTGTTTTGATCTGTCTCCTTAAAAAATGAAGCTACTGGTGAAGTCCTGAAAGAAGCTGCAAGGGCACGTACCTTCGTAAGTGGTTCTTGTATCCATCTTGGCGCTGGGGATGCGTCTCTTCACACAGGGGATGCACGGAGGTACTTGAGAACTAGGGTAGGAGTTATAATCTTGTTTATAAGTGGAGGTCAAATCCATACTCTCATCACTCTTGACGTGCTTTTCAGGTGGTTTAAGTTTCTGTGGCAGCACTTCATAAGCTATGTAATCTCTCCTGTGAAGAATAATTTCATTATGTCTTTTGTCTTAAGGAAAAAATTATGTTCTTTTTTCTGGACACAAAAAGAAATTAATACTTCCCTTTACCTCCACAGCCTAAGAAAGTCTGGATAGGATAAAGCAGTAATGAAACACACAAGCCTTTCACATTTGGAAACATAGACTCTGAAAAGGGCAGCTCTGGACAACCTCAGGCAGGCCAGGTTCCCCTTTCTCTCCACCCAGTGAGGTCAATGGCCTTACACAAAGCTATCTCTGTTCTACAGTGGAGTTACACCAGATGACATAACTCCTTTTAAAAGCCCAATAATTATAGCAGGCTATCTAGTATGTATCGGAAACATGAGAGAGGCAACAATAGCCTTCCCAGACAACGCACTGTACAGCAGTTCAGCGCAGGATGGGGAGATAACAACAAAACAGTTTTACAGCAAAACACCAGTTAAGGAAAGAAACACCAGCATGGTCAGACAGTCAGCTTTTTCTCAGGTACCAATGTAAAAGAGTGTCCTGGTTTCGGCTGGGATAGGGTTAAATTTCTTCCTAGTGCTGTGTTTTGGATTTAGTATGAGAAGAATGTTGATAACACACTGATGTTTTCAGCTGTTGCTAAGTACCCTCCTAGTCCAAGGACAGCTCCCATGCCTACTGACTGAGCTAGGTACACAAGATGGGAGGGAACGTAATCAGGACAGCCAGCT